CCCCCACCCGGCACTCGGCCTGGGCCCCGGAACGAGCACGAGCATGTCGGTTCCTCACCGGCGTGTCTCTGACGCTCGGTTCAAAGACGTACAAAAGCATCCCTGCAATGTCAAGAGATAAGCCACCCAGGTTATCAAAAATTCCTCCCGGGGAGGCTTATGCAATTGGTCGGAAAAGTACGCTTCGCCGCTGCAAGCCGACACTGCATAGGCACACTTCTCAGGGAAATGGGGCCGGATGGCGACACAATTACGGACGCTTACCTGGCGAGAGCTAAATTGCTGATGAAAGAATGATGAAAGACTGTGCTCTGCTCTCATCAGTTGGCCATCCTTCCTCGCAGTCCTTGGTTTCCTCTAAATAAGATAGTATAGGTTAGAAGCAAAGACGTCTTTCCAACCTCGACGCTTAAATATTCAGGTGACAAAAAATAGATTCAAGAAACCGAACTTTCTGAGTAGGAATTGGAAAGACCTTTCTTTAGATCCGCATCTGAGTAAGGCTTAAAATAATGAAAAGGAGCCCTTCAGAAACAACAACCACCCTTGAATAAAGTCATTGATGTGTCTGCCTTCTGTATTACTCAGGGCAAACTTACTGCTGCAGTAATGGATAATAGTAGTAATGGATAGTAATAACAATAACTTTGCAAAGGCTGACCTTGAGAATTGAGCTGCCATTGAGTAAAGACTATCTCAAAAAAAAAAAAAAAAAAGCAAAATCATCTTCGAAGGCAGCTCTTTCCCCAACTCTGCCCTTCCCACATGATTCCAATAAGAAATCAGTATAAGGTCTATAGCAGCAACACACTTCGAGCCAGCTGAGACCAGGGACACAGAACCAGAACTCAAGCCTGTCAGCATGGGAGGAAGGATTCTGGGAGAGAAAATTTGACTGAAGGAAGCACTATTTATACTATTCAGGGCAGGTATGTAAACGTCTTGGCCACAGATGATGTTGGGTGGTGGAGTGGAGGGCTTTCTCCTTTTGATTTTCTGTTTTCTCTTGGGAACTCGAGGGAAAGAACTTTCCACCAGGTCTCCCTTCCACAGAGCAACATTTTGTGCAGTTACTTGCCTTTACTGGTTTAGACTACTGATAAAATAGAAGTAATTAGGCAATTTTTTTAGCCCCTACTATGTGCCAGGCAGTCTGCACAACAACCTGTTTAATTGTATAAATTAATCAGACCTGCCCAGATGCCTCTGATAGAAACTTAACTATTGTTAGGCTAAAAGGAGGAAACCACTCTTAACGTGAACTTAAAGGATAGGACTTTGCTGGGCCACAGGGCTACTAGAACCAGAGTCTCTCTGCCTCACCCTCAGCTTGGCCTTTCTGTGCACATTGGTTTATCTTGTCCAGCCTGCTTCTTCTATATGGCTGGATACAAGGCCATTGATAGTTCTTGGCTTTAAAGCTCCAGCCTTACCATTAAACAGGGTGAATGTGAAGCTCTCTATTCCCAAGTTTAACACTCCCAGGGAAGAGCAACTAATTCATCCAGCAAATTGCCCATCCCTGAACCTAATGACTGTCCTGTAACAACACGGACACAAACATGTCCGAGATACTGCCGCATGTGTGTGGAAATACACTGTTTACTGTGCTCTGAGGGTACTTTACTGATGGTGTAAGGGGATGTCGTAATTTGACCTGAAGGTGTCACTTTTGGAAAGCGCTGGAAACTTTGGGAGGTGGGGTCTAACGTCAGGTGCCTAGGTAACTGGGGTGTGCCACCAGAAGATAGTCCATGTAGGTTTGTTCTTGGGGAGTTCTTACCAAAAAAGCCTAAGTGTAGCCCAGCCATGCTTTCAGCTCCTGATTCTAGATGCAATCACTTACTCCTGCGTGCACTTCCCCTTCCTCCTTTCCCACATCCTGCACAGCTTGGGGCAACGGGAATGAAGACAGGACAAGTGTCATACAGAAAAGCTGGGATCCTGTGGGCCATGCTCGTTCTCATGGACTGCCATCACTAAGCCAACCTGGGAACCTCAGCGTGATTGCTAGGAGCAGCAAGGGAGGAGGGAGCTGGTCTTTTTTTTTTTTTTTTTTTTTAATTTACTTTAATTTTGCATTGGTGTTTCGCCTGCATATATGTCTGTGTGAAGGTGTCAGATCCCCTGGAACTGGAGTTAAAGAGAGTTGTGAGCTGCCATGTGTGTGCTGGGAATTGAACCCAGGTCCCCTGGAAGAACAGCCATCTCGCCAGCCCCAAGTGATCTAGTCTTAATGGGAGTCTCTGTAGCCGAGCTGTCTCACTTTGCAGTCATCTGAAGGAAGAAGCTGCAGTTAACTAGTTTTTGCACATACCGGACAGTTGTTGTTAAAAAAAAAAAAAAAAAAAAAAAAAAAAAAAAAAACACTTGGACCAGAAGAAGGCTTTGCTATGCCTCTGAGCCTCACTGACAGGAAGGCTTTGTCAGTTCCCACGGGTCGGAAGCATTGGTGTCCTTAACATGGCTGTGCTCATGTCAATAATACACAGCCCCTTGGGACTTCATCCACTCCTTACATATTCACTCAGGGCTTCCTCACACCCCGCACACCAGTCATCATGGGATCCTCACCAGACATGAAATTATGAAGGACACCATGGTCTTGAACCTACAGAACTGAGCAAGGCAAGCCTCTTTTTCCTCTCCCCATCCCTCTCCCTGGGACATGGTCTCACTGTGTAGCCTTGGCTAGCCTAGAGCCTCTTTTTCTTTGTAAGCAACTTGTGTCGGGTATTTTGTTATGTGATGAGAAAATGACTCAGGAAGACATGTGGGAGGACACACTATAATTTTTTGAGCAAGAACTATGACAATAGCAAACGAATAATAACAGTAATTAACCAAAGTCCCTATTATGTCCCATGAATATCAATAGCAATTCTGCAAAGTAAATACACCCATTTCACAGATGAGCTGTCAGATTCCCAGCAGGAAACCAGCACGAAGGGGAAAAGGAAGCAGCATTAAGGCACAGCTCGGCCTCACTCTGGGGCTCCATATTCTAAACCTCGTTGGTTTAGCGTTAGCAACTTCTCACTGTCCTTACGTCCTCAACTCTGTCTTTTTTGCTGTGAGCATAAGTGTGTCTCCAACCTGTGACCTTGCAACAGTGGCACAGAACTCTCCTGAAGAAACAGAGGTACAGTAACCAAGCCAAGAGCTTTACCACGACCGTAACATTGACAGTAACAAATCAGAGGGCAATTATGGTGTCGTGTTAAAATCCTTCCTTCCCTCCCTCTTCGCTTACTCTCCTTGTCTTCCTCTTCTCACCTCCCTTTGTTCCTATCTCCTCTCCCTTTCTGTCTTCCTCATCCCGCTCCTCTTCCTGGAAATGGGACCCAAAAGCAAGGTGGGCAAGAAGAGTGTGCAGGGGAAAGAGAGAAGCCTGGTGTGGCCAGACAATCTACTACACTGAACAACTAAAGATGTTAAGAGTAAAATGGCCAGATTCCCCAGTAATAGAGAAAATGCAGAAAATAGAGAGAGGGAAGGCTAGAAATATTCCTGAAAAATTAAACACATGTGTCACTCCTCACATGTACCACAGCTCAGACTAAAGCCATTGGTGATGAAATCATCTCAGGTAATGAGTTTGGTAGAAACGAGCTTGGGCCTAAGCACCATGGCACACATCTTGGAAGACAGGGGCAAGCTGATCTCTGAGTTTGAGGTCAGTCTGGTCTATACAGTGACTAATAATGAGACCTTGTCAAAAAAAAAAAAAAAAAAAAAAAAAAGATGAGCTTGAGCTGTGAGGTTCCTAAGCTCCTGGCAAGAGTAAACATGAATTCTTTCTGGATGAATGTACCTGTGTTGTACTCACTGACCTTGTGAGTTCCTTTGTGAAGCTTCTTGAAGGGCATGTGCGTGCCTGTGCGCCTGTGCGCTTGTGTGTGTGTGTGTGTGTGTGTGTGTGTGTGTGTGTGTGTGTGTGTGCATGCGCACACGCATGTATATAAACTGCAAGAGTAAGAAATAACACACAACAGACAGTAGAACTCACCCCCACTGTCCTCCCTCCCATCCCTGGAGAGGCACACAGTCTCACCCAGACTCAATCTTCAGGTCGCCCTGCACACAAGGTTAGTAGATACCGTGGTCTCTTCAGTTACCCACCACCTGGTATAGTTACCTGCCCTGACACCAAATCTCTGATGGCTTCCTTAGCTTATAATCTTAACAATATGTACTCTTTTAAATTCTTTAACTTGTGGTTCAGAAGCTCAAGAACCTCTTAAGAATTATCTGTCTTGGTTCAGGTTGCTGTGATAAAAACACTATGGCCAAGGCAACAGAAGGAGGTGTTCGGTTGGGTTCCAGAGGCGCACATCACCGCTGTGGTGGGGAGCTTGGCCTCAGGCTGGCAGCCATAACACTGGAGCAGCAGCGGTTGAGATCTCACATCCCCACCCATAAAGAGGAAGCAGAGAGAGCTAACTCACAATGGCACCAGTTTTTTTGAAACCTCAAAGCCTGCCCTCAGTGACATACTTTCTCTACCAAGGCCACACACACTTCCTAATCCTCCCCAGATAGCCACCAATTGGGGACCAAGTACCAGATGCCTGAGACTTCTGAGGACATCTCATTCAGACCACAATACCCAACACTGTTCTCGCTCTTACGGAGTCACACCAGTCAGTGACATGGGGGCAGAAAAGGAAGGAGCTTGAGGCAGAGCCATGAGCACCAGGGCCCCCGTAAGTCCTGCCCAACTGGCCACATTTAGTTCATGTCCACCCTGTCTTGTCAAAGACTAGAAAAGCCTTCCTCCGCCCTACCTCGCCCCTTCTATCGCTTTCCTCTGGGTCTCCAAGTAGGGTAGCCCTCAAAGGTTCTCCACACCCTGCCTCGTGCCCCACTTCTTTGTCAACCAGATCGTGAGCACCCCTCTCTGGAGCTTTCCAACCTCTGGAGAAACCGCTTGTGTAATAAGCAGATGGTGGCCAGACCATGTGTAACAACAGAACTCTGTCCCGCAGTCTGCAGAGGCCGGTTCGGAAAGCCATGGCCCAGTCTCTGCAGCAGGGAGCCTGATACAGCCAGGTCAGGGTTCAGTCTATAGCACGGACCCGGATGTGTTTGCTGCTGCTTCTACTTCAGGACCAGCCAGAGAAAGGTAAATAGGGTCCCATTCCAGACACGTGGAATTCCCGGACTCCAGTTAGCTCCTCTGCACCTCATTCACACCATTGGCCTCTCACCTACCCACCCCAGCCTTCCTTTTTTCCATTACAAAGGTTTCACTTTTCTGTTTGCCTTTAGTCTCTACCAAACACAAATAGTAATGGTGGACTCCTTTTCTGCAGATAATCTCTGCTTGTTCTCGTTTGGGTAGCCTTTGTTTATTTTTACCTAATTTTAGTGGCTAGTTCTGAGGTCTTATGGCTGGAATCTTGCCCACCCCGACCTTCCGATACTCTCCTCCCCTCTCTCTGAGGGAGGGCTCTTCACCAGCCTCCAGGCTGTCTCATTTCAGCAGGAATGATGGTGCCCGAGAATTAGCCCTTCCCTTCAGTGACTCATCAGTTTGTTCATTGTGTCAGAGGAGAATCCAATCACTGTTGGACACCTACAGAGCCTCATTTTAGCCCCTGTGCTAGGGAGGTAGTTGCCATGGTGATAGATGCGGCAGGCAGGCAGGCAGGCTCTCTGCAGAGTGGCTGGCTACAGGCATCCCATGCCAGGAGGGGCTGAGCCTTCTGCGCGGTCTGTGTTACTCAATGTGCCCAACCCATCCCCCACCTCTGAGAATACAAGGGAGGTAGAGAGTGGGAATCTTCCATGTCCATCATTCTTAGAGCCTTGTTTAGCATACCCCCCACGTTGGTTCTTAATGGTTGCCCTCACTGGGTTGTGCAGCTTAAACTGTTGCTCAGCAACGAAATAACAAGATAAATGCAACCTCCACTGAATGTGCATGAATACCTCAATTTTTTCAGGAGGGTGTGAATCCAAGAGCTCCATGCTAAGATGGGGGTAGGGCAGTCGCAGCCTTCTCAAAGGAAGGTTAACAGCAAGAACAGAGAAAGTGCACACATGAGCGCACATTCTGGTAACCAGCATTCAGCTCCAGGTAGAGAAATGGAAGGAACATCTCCGTTTCTCCAGGGTCCCCAGGGAGGCTCCTCCTACCTTCCTCGGTGCCCAGCTCTTCGACAAGGATATGATTTCCATTACCACCTTGCTGCTCTGCCTGGCTTGAAACTTTTGTAGCTACAATGAGACTGTAGGCCTTTTGTATCTGACTTAATTCGTGGGTACTATGACAGTGAGATTCCCCATATGCTTGCAGTAAGGTGTGTGTGTGTGTGTGTGTGTGTGTGTGTGTGTATTCACACATGAACACTGCTGAGCCCAGTTTCTCTTCTAAATAATTCCCAGCTTAACAAGAACATTGAAGCCTGTAGTACAATTCTCACCGACATTTCACCCACAGTAGCCAAATGTTACTATATTGCCATTTTCTTTACCAATGTTTCTTTCACTGTCTGTATAATGTGTCAATTTATTTAAAAAAAATTAAGAGATTATAAATATACATTCTTACCCCTAAATATATATATATATATATATATATATATATATGTATGTATGTATGTATTTTAAGGATTACTTTTTTTTTTTTTTTTTTTTTTTTCAAGACAGGGTTTCTCT